GAAGCTAGCTGTATAGCTGAAGAAGCTAGCTGTATAGCTGAAGAAGCTAGCTGTATAGCTGAAGAAGCTAGCTGTATAGCTGAAGAAGCTTGCTGTATAGCTGAAGAAGCTAGCTGTATAGCTGAAGAAGCTTGCTGTATAGCTGAAGAAGCTAGCTGTATAGCTGAAGAAGCTAGCTGTATAGCTGAAGAAGCTAGCTGTATAGCTGAAGAAGCTAGCTGTATAGCTGAAGAAGCTAGCTGTATAGCTGAAGAAGCTAGCTGTATAGCTGAAGAAGCTAGCTGTATAGCTGAAGAAGCTAGCTGTATAGCTGAAGAAGCTAGCTGTATAGCTGAAGAAGCTAGCTGTATAGCTGAAGAAGCTAGCTGTATAGCTGAAGAAGCTAGCTGTATAGCTGAAGAAGCTAGCTGTATAGCTGAAGAAGCTAGCTGTATAGCTGAAGAAGCTAGCTGTATAGCTGAAGAAGCTAGCTGTATAGCTGAAGAAGCTAGCTGTATAGCTGAAGAAGCTTGCTGTATAGCTGAAGAAGCTAGCTGTATAGCTGAAGAAGCTTGCTGTATAGCTGAAGAAGCTAGCTGTATAGCTGAAGAAGCTAGCTGTATAGCTGAAGAAGCTAGCTGTATAGCTGAAGAAGCTTGCTGTATAGCTGAAGAAGCTAGCTGTATAGCTGAAGAAGCTTGCTGTATAGCTGAAGAAGCTAGCTGTATAGCTGAAGAAGCTTGCTGTATAGCTGAAGAAGCTAGCTGTATAGCTGAAGAAGCTAGCTGTATAGCTGAAGAAGCTAGCTGTATAGCTGAAGAAGCTAGCTGTATAGCTGAAGAAGCTTGCTGTATAGCTGAAGAAGCTAGCTGTATAGCTGAAGAAGCTTGCTGTATAGCTGAAGAAGCTAGCTGTATAGCTGAAGAAGCTTGCTGTATAGCTGAAGAAGCTAGCTGTATAGCTGAAGAAGCTAGCTGTATAGCTGAAGAAGCTAGCTGTATAGCTGAAGAAGCTTGCTGTATAGCTGAAGAAGCTAGCTGTATAGCTGAAGAAGCTTGCTGTATAGCTGAAGAAGCTAGCTGTATAGCTGAAGAAGCTTGCTGTATAGCTGAAGAAGCTAGCTGTATAGCTGAAGAAGCTAGCTGTATAGCTGAAGAAGCTAGCTGTATAGCTGAAGAAGCTAGCTGTATAGCTGAAGAAGCTAGCTGTATAGCTGAAGAAGCTAGCTGTATAGCTGAAGAAGCTAGCTGTATAGCTGAAGAAGCTAGCTGTATAGCTGAAGAAGCTAGCTGTATAGCTGAAGAAGCTAGCTGTATAGCTGAAGAAGCTAGCTGTATAGCTGAAGAAGCTAGCTGTATAGCTGAAGAAGCTTGCTGTATAGCTGAAGAAGCTAGCTGTATAGCTGAAGAAGCTAGCTGTATAGCTGAAGAAGCTAGCTGTATAGCTGAAGAAGCTAGCTGTATAGCTGAAGAAGCTAGCTGTATAGCTGAAGAAGCTAGCTGTATAGCTGAAGAAGCTAGCTGTATAGCTGAAGAAGCTAGCTGTATAGCTGAAGAAGCTAGCTGTATAGCTGAAGAAGCTAGCTGTATAGCTGAAGAAGCTAGCTGTATAGCTGAAGAAGCTAGCTGTATAGCTGAAGAAGCTAGCTGTATAGCTGAAGAAGCTAGCTGTATAGCTGAAGAAGCTTGCTGTATAGCTGAAGAAGCTAGCTGTATAGCTGAAGAAGCTTGCTGTATAGCTGAAGAAGCTAGCTGTATAGCTGAAGAAGCTTGCTGTATAGCTGAAGAAGCTAGCTGTATAGCTGAAGAAGCTAGCTGTATAGCTGAAGAAGCTTGCTGTATAGCTGAAGAAGCTAGCTGTATAGCTGAAGAAGCTTGCTGTATAGCTGAAGAAGCTAGCTGTATAGCTGAAGAAGCTAGCTGTATAGCTGAAGAAGCTAGCTGTATAGCTGAAGAAGCTAGCTGTATAGCTGAAGAAGCTAGCTGTATAGCTGAAGAAGCTAGCTGTATAGCTGAAGAAGCTAGCTGTATAGCTGAAGAAGCTAGCTGTATAGCTGAAGAAGCTAGCTGTATAGCTGAAGAAGCTAGCTGTATAGCTGAAGAAGCTAGCTGTATAGCTGAAGAAGCTAGCTGTATAGCTGAAGAAGCTAGCTGTATAGCTGAAGAAGCTAGCTGTATAGCTGAAGAAGCTAGCTGTATAGCTGAAGAAGCTAGCTGTATAGCTGAAGAAGCTAGCTGTATAGCTGAAGAAGCTAGCTGTATAGCTGAAGAAGCTTGCTGTATAGCTGAAGAAGCTAGCTGTATAGCTGAAGAAGCTTGCTGTATAGCTGAAGAAGCTAGCTGTATAGCTGAAGAAGCTAGCTGTATAGCTGAAGAAGCTAGCTGTATAGCTGAAGAAGCTTGCTGTATAGCTGAAGAAGCTAGCTGTATAGCTGAAGAAGCTTGCTGTATAGCTGAAGAAGCTAGCTGTATAGCTGAAGAAGCTTGCTGTATAGCTGAAGAAGCTAGCTGTATAGCTGAAGAAGCTAGCTGTATAGCTGAAGAAGCTAGCTGTATAGCTGAAGAAGCTAGCTGTATAGCTGAAGAAGCTAGCTGTATAGCTGAAGAAGCTAGCTGTATAGCTGAAGAAGCTAGCTGTATAGCTGAAGAAGCTAGCTGTATAGCTGAAGAAGCTAGCTGTATAGCTGAAGAAGCTTGCTGTATAGCTGAAGAAGCTAGCTGTATAGCTGAAGAAGCTTGCTGTATAGCTGAAGAAGCTAGCTGTATAGCTGAAGAAGCTAGCTGTATAGCTGAAGAAGCTAGCTGTATAGCTGAAGAAGCTAGCTGTATAGCTGAAGAAGCTAGCTGTATAGCTGAAGAAGCTAGCTGTATAGCTGAAGAAGCTAGCTGTATAGCTGAAGAAGCTAGCTGTATAGCTGAAGAAGCTTGCTGTATAGCTGAAGAAGCTAGCTGTATAGCTGAAGAAGCTTGCTGTATAGCTGAAGAAGCTAGCTGTATAGCTGAAGAAGCTTGCTGTATAGCTGAAGAAGCTAGCTGTATAGCTGAAGAAGCTAGCTGTATAGCTGAAGAAGCTTGCTGTATAGCTGAAGAAGCTAGCTGTATAGCTGAAGAAGCTTGCTGTATAGCTGAAGAAGCTAGCTGTATAGCTGAAGAAGCTTGCTGTATAGCTGAAGAAGCTAGCTGTATAGCTGAAGAAGCTAGCTGTATAGCTGAAGAAGCTAGCTGTATAGCTGAAGAAGCTAGCTGTATAGCTGAAGAAGCTAGCTGTATAGCTGAAGAAGCTAGCTGTATAGCTGAAGAAGCTAGCTGTATAGCTGAAGAAGCTAGCTGTATAGCTGAAGAAGCTAGCTGTATAGCTGAAGAAGCTAGCTGTATAGCTGAAGAAGCTAGCTGTATAGCTGAAGAAGCTAGCTGTATAGCTGAAGAAGCTAGCTGTATAGCTGAAGAAGCTAGCTGTATAGCTGAAGAAGCTAGCTGTATAGCTGAAGAAGCTAGCTGTATAGCTGAAGAAGCTAGCTGTATAGCTGAAGAAGCTAGCTGTATAGCTGAAGAAGCTAGCTGTATAGCTGAAGAAGCTAGCTGTATAGCTGAAGAAGCTAGCTGTATAGCTGAAGAAGCTAGCTGTATAGCTGAAGAAGCTAGCTGTATAGCTGAAGAAGCTAGCTGTATAGCTGAAGAAGCTAGCTGTATAGCTGAAGAAGCTAGCTGTATAGCTGAAGAAGCTAGCTGTATAGCGGGAAGAGGGTCATGATCCTCTGGAAAGTCAGATGGGCGAAGCGAAAGTCAGCCGCATGCGCGTCTGGGCGAAAGTCTGCCACTTGGGCTTTAGAATAGCTGGATTATGCTTCAGTAGAGGAGGGAACTGCACCACCACCACTCTCCCCACATCCTCCACCTTCTCTACCAGCTCTTCACCGCACTAAACCTCACTGCACTACCACAAAAACACACCATACACCTTTGTACCACTACTCACCATGGAAAGGCAACCAGATGGTCAACAGTGAGGCGCATGGTCCTCTGTAAGTACCGCCACTTGGGCTTCAGAATAGCTGGATTGTACTTGAGCAGAGGGGGGAGGAACTGGGCCTACATGCTCCTCCCCTCTTCCTTCTCTGCCTTATCTTCACCGTACAAAACCATACTGCATCATAGGAAGGACACCTGTTGTTACCTTGTACTCACTGTGGGACGGCAACCAGATGGTCGACGGTCAACCGCATGGTTCGCTGGAAATACCACCACTTGGGCTTCAGAATAGCCGGGTTGTACTTGAGCAGAGGGGGGAATCGAACCACCATGCTCCCCTCTGCCTGCTCTTGTCCGCACTAAACCCTACTGAACCGTGCATCCGCTCTCACCGTGGGAAAGCCACTAGATGGTCAACAGTCAGCCTCATCGTCCTCTGGAAGTAGCGCCACTTGGGCTTGAGGATAGCCGGATTGTACTTGAGGAGCGGCGGGAAGATTTTTGAGGCGCCTCAAGGATTGTACTTGAGGAGCGGCGGGAAGATTTTTGAGGCGCCTCAAGGATTGTACTTGAGGAGCGGCGGGAAGATTTTTGAGGCGCCTCAAGGATTGTACTTGAGGAGCGGCGGGAAGATTTTTGAGGCGCCTCAAGGATTGTACTTGAGGAGCGGCGGGAAGATTTTTGAGGCGCCTCAAGGATTGTACTTGAGGAGCGGCGGGAAGATTTTTGAGGCGCCTCAAGGATTGTACTTGAGGAGCGGCGGGAAGATTTTTGAGGCGCCTCAAGGATTGTACTTGAGGAGCGGCGGGAAGATTTTTGAGGCGCCTCAAGGATTGTACTTGAGGAGCGGCGGGAAGATTTTTGAGGCGCCTCAAGGATTGTACTTGAGGAGCGGCGGGAAGATTTTTGAGGCGCCTCAAGGATTGTACTTGAGGAGTGGCGGGAATTGAACCGCTATGCTTCCCACGTCCTCCCTCACCACCCCCATGGACAGCAGACAGCGCACTAGCGGACGCAGCTCGACTGCCCCACAGGAAACCCTTCATGCTGCACTCACCGAGGGAAGGCAACCAAATGGTCAACAGTCAACCGCATGGTCCTCTGGAAGTAGCGCCACTTGGGCTTCAGAATAGCCGGATTGTATTTCAGCAGCGGCGGGAATTGAACCACCATAATCCCCACGTCCTCCCTCACCACCCCCATGGACAGCAGAAAGCGCACTAGCGGACGAAGCCTGTCGTCCAGATGGCACGCCACCAGGTCCGGCCGAGCCACCACGACCTTCCAAACCTCGTGGTCCGGGACTCCTGCTTCGGTGACGAGGAACCGAACCTGGGGTAAATCGTTTGGTGCGAGGCAGGGAGGGAAAGTATTGGTCAAGCTTGCTTAAACAGCCACTGGTAGATTGATATTGGCAGATGCAGCAGAGGTACGTGTAGAGAGGGTGTTTTTGAGACGTCTCAAAAACACCCTCTCTACAACTGCCACTGGTAGATGGATATCGGCAGATGCAGCAGAGGCCTTAAGCAATTGGAGTTGAAAAAAAAAAAAAAAGGGTGCCTAGGTAAGCCAAGCGGAGAGGGGAAAACAAATCCTGCATAATTTGGCAAAACCGAACAGAACACACAGGTGTACGACAGGCTGAATGTAGTTGCACATGGGTGGAAAGCGGTGCAAATAAACAGTGACACGTCCGTTGTTGATCCTCACGCCCTGCCCTGTAGGCTGCAAGGCTGTCAACTCAGCTTGTAGTATCTGGCAGCCTGAAATGAGATGGTTATTTAGGCGCCACAGAAATTTGGCAGCAGGGCTGTAAACACAGCGAGTAAGTACCTATCTGCTCACCAGTGGCCTTATCTTCTTGTCGAGGCTGTAGGTGAGGATGGGTGGAAAGCGGTGCAGCACTCCCGCTACGTCTGCCTCGGGAATCCCAATGAGCCGGAGGAAACGAACCTGAGGGGATTAAGAAATAGCAGCACAAGGGAAGACTGGGATTCTAACACAAGTGGCACATTGACGTGGCACATTGACGTGGCACATTGACGTGGCACATTGACGTGGCACATTGACGTGGCACATTGACGTGGCACATTGACGTGGCACATTGACGTGGCACATTGACGTGGCACATTGACGTGGCACATTGACGTGGCACATTGACGTGGCACATTGACGTGGCACATTGACGTGGCACATTGACGTGGCACATTGACGTGGCACATTGACGTGGCACATTGACGTGGCACATTGACGTGGCACATTGACGTGGCACATTGACGTGGCACATTGACGTGGCACATTGACGTGGCACATTGACGTGGCACATTGACGTGGCACATTGACGTGGCACATTGACGTGGCACATTGAAGTGGTGAGGGAGGACGTATGGATTAGCTTCCTAGCAACCAATGTGGTGGCTAATGGGTCACTCACAAGTCACCCAGGCAACTCTGTACACTGTATACTCACCATGTGAGTTGCCCGGGTAACGAATGAACCCACCAGACAAGCACATTCGTTTCGTTTCTTGGTCTGGATTTTGAATCGAGTGTTTTGAGACGTCTCAAAACACTCCTTCATGAACAGGCAACTCACACCGTAGACCAGACAAACAAACAAGCACATTCGTCTCTTGGTCTGGATTGTGAATCGACCTGATGCTGCATACGTATGCTTTAAGAGCTCGCCTGCACCTCATCTCAGCTGTACCTCATCTCACCCGTACCTCATCTCACCCGTACCTCACCTCATCTCACCCGTACCTCATCTCATCTCATCCGTACCTCATCTCATCTCATCCGTACCTCACCTCATCTCATCCGTACCTCATCTCATCTCACCCGTACCTCACCTCATCTCATCCGTACCTCATCTCATCTCATCCGTACCTCACCTCATCTCATCCGTACCTCATCTCATCTCATCCGTACCTCATCTCATCTCATCCGTACCTCATCTCATCTCATCCGTACCTCATCTCATCTGTACCACGGTATACACATCTGCCTGGAACGTAAGATACGTTGACTCAACTATTGAAATTTCTCAAAAGCGATTTCACCATACCTTGGGAGACACGTCCGCTTGCACCGTAAGCTGCAGCACCTTCGGGTGGCGCACCACCATCTCGCCGATCTGAGCGTTGGTCAGCCCCAGCAGCGAGAGGTAACGAATCAGCAGCTGCCACGTGGCGTCCAGCGAGCTGCTCAGCAGCTGCGGGCGGCGCACGATGACCCTTGCGAGGCCCACTCCCCTGATGTGTAGGGACTCGAAGAATTTGAGCTGTAACAGGTTCTCAATTGGGGGGAGGCGGGGAGGGGGGAGATAGACAGGGGTAGAAGGAGGAGAGGCTGAGCGCCGACACCGAATAGGTTGGAGACGCACAATCACCTTTGCGAGGCCTACCCCCCTGATGTAAAGAGACTCAAAGAAGGCGAGCTGGAAATTGATTGGATGGGAGGAGACGGGGAGGGTGGGGACAGGCGGACAGGTTGAATGGCAACAGCTGTGATGCACTACACAATGACCTTTGCCAGGCCCATCCCTCTGATGCGTCAATAATGGACAGGTGGGCTGCGGAGGCCTTACTTCCATTCCGTCAACTTGTGCTGTTCTAGGACAACGAGACAAACCTTTTGAGACGCCTCAAAAGTCAACTCATGCAGTTCTAGGACAACGAGACAAACCCCATGGGTAAGTGGAAGAAAGGAGCCTGGTTAAGCGCGAGCTTAGAACTTTTTTTAGAGAGCCAGTACGAAAGCGCGGATGAGACCTTTGCCAGGCCCACCCCCCTGATGTAAAGAGACTCGAACAAGGCGAGGTGGCAGTGAAGAGGAAGGAGAGGGGGGTGAGGAAGGGAAAGGAGGAACAGGAAATCGGTTGCTAGGCCAGCTCCCCCACGCTCTTGGGCAACAGGAGGTCCCGGAAGGAGTCTGGCAGAAGTTTGTGTGGAGTCTGGCAGAAGTTTGTGTGGAGTAACGGAGCCTTCATGGCGAGTTGACTTTTGAGTCGACTCAAAAGGAGTCTGGCAGAAGTTTGTACGGACTAACGGAGCCTTGATGGATTCTGCATGTGCCACGTGTCTCACCTTTGCCTGTAGTGCCTCCATCGTCTCACCTTTGCCTGTAGTGCCTCCATCGTCTCACCTTTGCCTGTAGTGCCTCCATGGGTAAGTCCTCTTCGCTCATCACATGCGGGTGGTTGTACACCACTGTGCCGGCCAGCTCAAACACGCTCTTGGGTGAGGGGGGGAGGGGTGCTGGGAGGAGTCTGGCAGGGAGGAGTCTGGCAGGGAGGAGTCTGGCAGGGAGGAGTCTGGCACTATGTTGGAAAAGTCGCCAGAAACCATAAGCGCACACCGTTTAGTCGTTTACGAATATACGGTGTACGCAATTCGTACGTATATTCGTAGGGATATATTCGGGCTGACCGGAAAAAAAAAACAGATTTCAATAGTCGCGCACGAATTGCGAATGTGCGACGCGACTCAAAATGTACACACGTCCCAACCCAATTTGTACGCACGTCCCAAACACATTGTCCCCCACACATGTCAAAATTTGGGAACGTGGGAAAATTTGAACCGCATTGCACCCACTGCTATCGCGCGACTCCAACACACAAACACGAATTTCGTCAACCAGCGTAGGTGGTTCAACCACATCCTGGACTATAAGGTAAGCTCATTCCCGATGTCTGTAGTATCTCTCTCGTTCATTCTCTCTCAACGCTCCCGCTCAGCTGCACTCGATGTCGACTCCTACTGGTACTCCCGCGAGTGCCACTAGTGAGGCTCCTAGTGTTTCGAATGACGCGACCATGGCGGACGACGGGGATGTTCCTGAGAACACCCATGTTATTTTTAAGCATTTCCTTACCTCTACCGAAGGTAGCTCGACTGGTCCTGAGCGTACTGTCCGCATATGCCGGCACTGCAAGCTTAAGTTCGTAGGCGGCGCCTTCCGTTGTGCGCAACACATCACGCGCTGGAAAGGGCTGAATCGGAAGGACGTCCGTCTTTGCAAGGCGCCTATCCCTGCTGCTGACCGCGGCGCCGTCCGCGAATTGTACGAAGGCAAACACGCCCGCAGGGAAGGGAAGAAGAAGGCGGAGGAGATGGCGATCGCGGCGTGTGCAGGTGGATCGAAGAAGCAGTGCATAGAAGACTTCTACGGGGAAGGGTCGTCGTGTGCGAAGGAGTCGGCAGACGACGCCATCTGCCTCATGTGGGCGGCACTTCACCTACCGGAGCATCTCGCCGATCACCCTATCTGGCGGAACGCTGTGCGCTGCATCACGGACGCGGGCCATGGCTACGTTCCGCCGAAGCGGCGGTATGTTGGTGGCGCCGGCCTTGCGCGCTGCCGCGGAAAGATCGAGAAGGGCCTCGCTCCCATCACTGCGAGCTGGAAGCGGGATGGCGTGACGATAGGTTCGGACATGATGACGGACAAAAGTGGTCGTCCCCAAGCCAACATCCTGCTCATCAACGATTCCGGTGCTGTGTTCGCCGAAAGCATCGACTGTAAGTTGGAAACGAAGACGGGAGGATACATTGCATCGGTTTTGCGCCCGATCATTGAGAAGGTGGGGCCCGCCAACGTAGTTGCCTTCTGCATGGATGGGGGCAGCAATTATGCGGCAGCATGTAGGGAACTCATGCTAGAGTTTTCTCACATTGAGCATGTGCCGTGTGCTACTCACGTCATGGATCTGCTCATGGAGGACATTGGGAAAATGGATTAGGCGAAGGACATTGTGGCAAAGGCGGGGTTGATTATTACCTTTGTGCGTGCCCACCATTTCACCAAAGGTTACATGAGAAGCCCGCAGGTGAAGGGAGGGAAGGGGAAGCAGGTGCTGAAGCCGGCGGGCACCAGATTTGGCACGCAATTCATCGCGGTGCAGCGGCTTTGCGAGGTGCGGAGTGCATTGACGCAAATGGTGCTGAGCCAGGAGTGGCGGGATTGGGCGAAGGGGAGGAAGCCGCCGGTCGAGCCCTTCGCGGACATGATCATGGATGCCGTGTGGTGGAAAGGGGCGGAGTTCTTCGTCGCCCTCCTGAAGATCCCCTTTGTCGTCATGTGCAAGACCGACTCGACGGCCAAGGGCATGATGGGCAAGATCTATGATCTGATGCTCCAGCTCACGGAAGACATCAATGCGAAGCTGGAGGAGGAGGAGGCGGGATTGGTGCTGTCCAGCACTGAACGCACGGAGGTGACCAACATCGTCCAGAAGCGCTGGGACCACAGCATGGCGTGTGCCATGCACGTGGTTGGCCGGATCCTCAATCCGGTCAACCAGGAGGAAGGCATCTTCCGGACCGACCTGGAGTGTACGCGCGTCTTCAAAGCGTTCGTCGCTCGTCACTTTGGGGGGCAGACCGTCACGCGCAAGGAGGGAGATGAGCTGCGTGCATCGCACGTCATCCAGGACGGCCTGACGGCATTCAACACCCTTCAGGGGAGCTTTGGCCTACCCGACGCCATCACTGACCGTGAGCTCGTGAAGGCCGGTAAGAAGACGGCCGTCGATTGGTGGACGTGGCACGGGACGGACTACCCCGAGCTGACAACGCTCGCCTGCCGCGTTCTCTCTCAGCCAGTGTCCGCATCGGCGTGTGAGAGGAACTGGGCAGTGTGGGAATCGATCCACACTGCCAAACGCAACAGGTTGGGGTCCGAGAAGTGTCGGGACCTCGTGTATGTTGCGCACAATTGGAACATTGTGCGCAACTGGCACAAGGGGGCTGAGGGGGTGACGGTTCTCCCGGGGAACATCCCTGAGGCCCCCCTGCCGGAAGGGTACAAGGAGGTTTTGGAGGAGGATGAGGAGGAGGGGGAGGAGGATGAGCTGGAGGATGAGTACAAGTAGAGGAGGAAAAAAGGGACGGAGGGAGTAGAGGGTGGGAGTAGGGGGTGGGGTAGAGTAGTGTAGCATGGGCGGATGGTGGTTGGGGGGGAGGGGGGGGTGGGGTGGAAGAGATGTAGGCTTGTAGCGTTAGTAGTAGTTCTTCTGCAGGTGTAGGATAGTGTAGGAGATGCATGTTGCGTGCTTAGAGTAGTTGAGAATGTCAGGTTTTTTCAATATACAAAAACCTGAAAACCCAAAAAAAACACGGTTTTTTACCTCCCCCCCCCCCCCCCCCCCCCCCTCCTTACAAGGTTTTTTTCCTCTGCCCGGTAAAAAGTTTTTGCTGCCCGGGCAGCGTACTTTTTGCGACTTTCAGAGTCATGTATTCAGCGCATAACGTACTATACGCAAGCGTATATACGCTTGCATATAATGCGCTGGGCGCGACTTTTCCAACATAGGTCCGGCAGGGAGGAGTCTGGCAGGGAGGAGTCTGGCAGGGAGGAGTCTGGCAGGGAGGAGTCTGTACGGAGTCTAAGAGCAGTTTGGCATGTGTCTCACCTTGGCTTGTAGAGCCTCCATGGGCAAGTCCTCCTCGCTCATCACGTGAGGATGGTTGTACACCAGTGTGCCGGCCAGCTCAAACACACTCTTAGGCAACGGGTGGTGCTGGAAGGACTCTGGCAGGCGAAGAGATGCGGGGATGTCTCGAGAAGCGAGAGGGGGGAGAGATAGGGCCAGCGACTCTGATTCTTCTGCTGCTCTTTGCTCTGATGCTGATCTTTTGTCTGCTACTCTTCTGTCTGATTCCGCTGCCTCTGCTGCTGCTGACATTGTACTTGTCGCTGTTGCTTCCCATTCCCTCCACTCTCTCAACCTTGACTCCTCATCCCATCCCGCCTCTCGTGCCTTCCTCTCCCGCTCCCGCTCCTCCCACTGCTCCCGCTGCTGCGCTGCCAGCGGCTCAAGCACAGCATGCAGCAGCCTCCCCTTTTCGCGAAGCTGCTCAAAGGGATCAACCAGCACGCCTGGCGCCTTGCTGAGCACCACTCCCACCCACTCCCTCCGCACGCCCACTTGATTGACCAGGTAGTCTACTCGAGCCTGGAGCAAAGGGGAATATGCGACGAGACACACAGGAGATCCGATAAGATAGGGGGCTCACAGCAGCACCCCTGGCGCCTTGGTGAGAACCACTCCTACCCACTCCCTCCGCACGCCCACTTGGTTGACCAGATAGTCTACTCGGGCCTGGAAACAAAAGGGAGAGAGGAGGGGAGATACACGATGAGAGAGACAGAGGGGAGGATACGCCCTTGTAACACCCCCGGACGGATTAATGCAAGGACCGTTCGGGGAGGATACACGGGGGTGCGGACGTGGGTACGAAAGGAGAAGCTATAAGAGCCCACCCGCACCCCTGGCGCAAGGGGTGCCGGACGTGAGCCCACCGGCACCCCTGGCGCAAGGGGTGCCGGACGTGAGCCCACCCGCACCCCTGGCGCAAGGGGTGCCGGACGTGAGCCCACCGGCACCCCTGGCGCAAGGGGTGCCGGACGTGAGCCCACCGGCACCCCTGGCGCAAGGGGTGCCGGACGTGAGCCCACCGGCACCCCTGGCGCAAGGGGTGCCGGACGTGAGCCCACCGGCACCCCTGGCGCAAGGGGTGCCGGACGTGAGCCCACCGGCACCCCTGGCGCAAGGGGTGCCGGACGTGAGCCCACCGGCACCCCTGGCGCGTTGCTGAGCTCCACTCCTACCCACTCCCTCCTTATGCCTACTTAGTTGTCCAGGTAGTCCCCTTGCAGGAAGGGTGTTTTGAGACGAGGTGACTTTTGAGTCGACTCAAAAGTCTCCAAGCTATAAGCGCTCTCCGTGTAGAAAAAGTGTCGTGTGCCATTGTAACGAGGTGACTTTTGAGTCGACTCAAAAGTCAAAAGTCACCTTTTGAGTCGACTCAAAAGTCACCTACTTAGTTGTCCAGGTAGTCCCCTTGCAGGAAGGGCAAGGGAGATCAGAATGAGTGGGCCCAGGGCCCAGGGCACAGGGCACAGGGCGCAGGGCGCAGGGCGCAGGGCGCAGGGCACAGGGCACAGGGCACAGGGCACAGGGCACAGGGCACAGGGCACAGGGAGACACTTGCAAGGCACAGTAGCTGAAGCTGGTGCATGGTTGTGACAAGACAAGAATGGCACGGTTGATGGTTTAGGGAATCAGAATTTTGAAGTTGTGAGAGGGCTTATAGGGGGATAATACCTGAAGGTGGGGGATGGATGGATGGGTGTGGTGAGGATGGCAGGGTTGCGGACAACTATTCGCCCCACCACATCGTGCTTCACCCCTGCCCGATGAAACCACTCGATGTAAGTAATCCCTCGCCCACACCATGCCACTGCCCACTGCACCCCAACCACCCACCCTTGCTCATCATGCTTGCCCACCCTACCCTACCCTACCCTACCCTACCCTACCTACCTGAAGGTCATAAATGGGTGTCGCAAGTATGGCAGGGTTGCGCACGACAACACGGCCCAGCACATCGTGCTTCACCCCTGCTCAGTGCAAGCACTCGATATAATCCCTCACCCACACCACGCCACGCAACTCACTCACCCACCCACCCAATCTCGCTCCACATACATACCTGAAGGTCGTGAATGGCTATGGCAAGGATGGCAGGGTTGCGCACGACAATGCGCCCCACCACGTCATGCTTCACCCCTGCTCGGTGCAACCACTCGATATAATCCCTCACCCACACCACGCCACGCAACTCACTCACCCACCCACCCACAACCCACCCACTCACTCGCTCCACATACATACCTGAAGGTCGTGAATGGCTGTGGCAAGGATGGCAGGGTTGCGGACGGTAATGCGCCACACCACGTCATGCTTCACCCCTGCTCGGTGCAACCACTCGATGAAATCCCTCACCCACACCACGCCACTCACCCACCCAACTCCTCCACCCACTGACCCAACCTTGCTCATCATGCCTACCTGAAGGTGGGGTATGGGCGTAGCAAGTATAGCAGGGTTGCGGACAACAATGCGCCCCACCACGTCATGCTTCACCCCTGCTCGGTGCAACCACTCGATATAGTCCCGCACCCACACCACGCCACTCCGCCGCTGCAGCTCCTCCTTCTGCTCCCCCCCGTCTCCTCTGGCCCCAGAACCTTCTCTGGTAGCAAAAGAGGCACCCTTCTCTACAAGAACAGGACTTTCCCCCATCCCTACAAAGATGGCAGGAGCACCACCATCCCTCAAGGCAGCATCAGAATCAGCAGCAGCACCATCCCCAGCAGCACCAGCAGCAGCAGCAGCAGCAGCACCAGAAGCATCAACAGTCTCTGAATCAGCGTCCATGGCAGCAGCGAGCGTGATGAGGGCGGCAGTGCGGGCGAAGGTCTGCTTGGCTGTTTGTTTCAGCCACCGGGCGAGCAGGTGCGGTGCAGAGCGGTGCACTGCGATGGCTGCGCGGTGGGGGAAGGAGTGGAAGGCGTAGTGCGATTCCGACTTGAGGGCAACTGCCTGGGGAGGGGGGAATGGAGATGAAGGAGGGAAGGAGGGGGGGAGGGGAAGGGAGAATGTGTGAGGAAACAAAGGGTAACGGTGGAACTTTGAGAATTCAAAAAAATACCGTGGAACGCTGGATAACGGGGATGGAGTGGAAGGCGTAGTGTTGATTGGACTTGAGGGCAACAGTGGCAAGGGGAAGGGCGGTCGTTGGGGGAAATGAGACGGGGGGTTGTGGGGTTGGGAGAGGCGGGGGAGACTGCGGGAAAGAGGTCACACAAGCCACTCACCCCAGTGAAATCTCCCATGAAAAATCTCCTGGCGCCACCTAAAAACCCACCAGGAGTCCTACCTAACCTCCACCCGAGACCCATATGGAGATTCACCTGAAAACTCACCTGAAGCATCATCTGCTCACCTGGAGCACGAGCTGGTCAATATACGCAGGGAGGTGCCTGATGAGCTCTCTGGAATACACCTTCCCCAGTTTCACCTCCTCGAATGCTGACATCAGCGCCGCCCGCACCACCTTGCGCCTCTCCTGCAGCGCGAGCGCCACGGGGCTGTCCCGGGAAACTTCCAGGCTGCTTCCACTGCCGCTTCCCCTGCCACTGCTGCTTCTGCCGCTGCTGCTGCTGCTGCTGGTGCTGCTGGTTTGAGACGGCAAGGAGGGTATGCCGTTTTCAGAAAACTCCAGCCTGGGTATTCTAGAAGACTCCACAGGGGCTTTGGAACTGCCGCCGCTGCCATCCCTGGTGCTGCCACTGTTGCTGCGTCTTCTCCTGCTGCTGGCACTGTTGATGTCCCTTTTACCCCTGGTCAAACTGGCAACACCATCATTATCAACATCACTCTCAGCAGCAGTGCTAGTCACTGAGCCTGGGACCTCCGCCTCCTCATCCCACGGCCATTGCTCCTCCTGCCTGCTTGACTGCCCTGCCAGCCTGCCGGCCTTAAAAGCCCTGTTAGGTGAAGGAGTCCCTCTCGCAGCACTTTGAAGCCCTGGTGCATGTGATTCTGCTGTGTTTCGCTCTGCTGTGTTTCGCTCTGCTGTGTTTCGCTCTGCTGTGTCTTGCTCTGCTGTGTCTAGCTCTGCTGTGTCTAGTGCTGATGATGCTACCGTTGCTACCCGTGCTTCGGCTTGCTCTGCTGTGTGTGATTCTGCCGCGTCTGCCTCTGCTGTGTCTGGCGCTGGTGATGCCGCTGGTGCTCGTGTGGGTTGATCACCACCACTCACCACCACCACTTGTTGTGCAGCGGCTGCTGCTGCTGCTGCTGCTGCTTCATCGGGAAACTGTGATTGCTCGTGAAATACTGCCGTGGACGCACCATCAATAGACCCGCCGACTGATGCCGTGGATGGTGACAGTGACTGCTCATTCAACACTCCACTCACCACTGCTGTCGTTGCACCACTGGAAGACCCACCACCTGCTGCTGCGGTTGATGATACAGCGTCCTGCCACGGATAATCCTCTTCTCTTCGCTTTCGCTCTTGAGAATTCTCAAAAGCGACTCCTGCTCCTTCTCCTGCCATTCCTTCTCCACCCCTATATAGCCCCCTCTTTCTTCTCTCACCTTCCTCCTCAAACCTTACCACACCCCCATCCCCTGCAGACCTCCCATCTGTTTCACTCCCCCCATCCCCCCCCTCCATCCACCAAGCCCGCTTCCCTCTCTTCTCCCATGAGGGAGCCACCCAAGAATCTACCCTGCTTCTGCTGCTGCTCGCCCTTTGCGCTCCTACTCCTCCTCCTCTCCCCTCGGCTGCCCCCCTAGTTCTCAACTCCCCATCCCCTCTCTTCTCCCACAATGGTCCCCCCACCCACGCGTCCGCTCTGCCGCTGATCTCTCCTTGCGCCCCTCCCCCTCCTCTCCCCTCCCCTGCACTCGCCCATGCCTCTATGCTTCTTCCGCTCGCCCCCCTCTGCCTCGCTTCAACTCCTCTTCTCTCTGCCGCCCCGCCTCCCCCTGAAGTCTCCCTTTCCCCTGCCGCCCCCCTTCCCCCTGTCGCCTCCCGCTTCTCATCCGCGCCTCTGCGCCAAACTCCGCCCCTCACTGCATTTGCTCCGCCCCTTCGTTCCTCCTCCGCATTCCGCCCATCCCCCACCGCATTCCGCTCCTCCTCTACCGCATTCCGCCCCTCCGCACAAGCTCCCTCCCCCCTTTCCCACACAACCGGCGGTCTCCCCCGCTGCCCTCCACCACCCCCTCCGCCATTTCTTGCCCGATCGCGCTCGTCGATCGCGCGCAACCTGATCCTCCTCTGATTGGCTAGAACCAACGGATATCCTCCTCTAATCGCGCTCGTTAGAGTGTCAGTCTGAAGGCGCATTTTAAACGGGTAGTTTCCGTCCGCTAATAGTCGGCTCCTAACCGCCAGTATTCGCGCCCGGTCCGCCGGTAATCTCGCTCCGGGCCCTGATACTCTTGCTCTAATCGTGGTTGTGGGAAGTGCCATAACAGACATGGCGGCAAACGATGACGATACAGACCGCGACAACACACAAGTGCCCGCTCGTGACGCAAGCCGGATTCGCCAGAATTTATTTGAGGGTGGTGCTTGTACGCGTTAGTGTCATGCTGCTGCGTCGGTCGCTCGCTACCGGACTTGTACGCGTTATGCCAAACGATGCTGAACCCGATCGAGAAGAGGATTGTATGTCTGGAACAAAATAGCCACACATCCTTGTTCTGGGATTTGAGGTAGGTACCGTAAACTTTTAAGACCATTGCGGAAAAATAAAGCAGAGCAATTACAAAGAGAACCATTCTGCTCAAAACACAACCAAGCCAAACGATGCCAAGGTAAACCAAATTGGTTCCTCACAAAAGAGAAAGTGGGGCATTTTGGCCTTTTTAACACAACAAATACTAGCATTGCATGACAGACCTGTAACTTGAATGGCTTTTGATTCAAAACCAGATTAGTGATATACGAACATAATTTACATGCATGATTGTAGGCCAGGGGAAAGTCATAGAAGTGAAGACCGCATTGCTGCGAATGTAGTGCACTGCAGCTGCAGCTGCTGCTGCTGCATGTCGAGCGACAGAGTTTGATTGAGGCCATACAGCGAGCAGGCAGTGAAGCCAGGGATGCTGCTGCTGCGGAATTGCATGAACACTGCAATGGGCATGGCAGCCCGTTCCCACCTGTGGACTAGTTGTGCAATCCACAGATGCTCTAACCGTGCATTGTTGCACAAAAGTAGCTATGGAGGTTAGGCTACAGAGCCAAGGGCCATGCAGGAGTTAGGCAGTGGAGGTCAGGGCAGGGGTGCTGCTGCTGCGGACGCACATGAAAGCAGCTTCTCAAAGGTGCTGCAGGGGGTCTTCTCATCGGCGCCTGTGCACCTGCTTCAGAATCCATGGATGCTCTGCCATAAAAAAAGGGATACAGAACACACAATGTCAGGCACACCAGGTACGATACAACACAAAATGGGGGAGTAATGGGAGAAAATGAAACTGCGAGTGGAGTGCAAAAAAAAAAAAAAGAAGACATACCAAGGATTTCTACAGGAGTGATGCGCTTCCTCCAATCTTTCTCCAGCATCCTCGCTATAAGCTCCTTGCATTCCTCCGAGACCCCTCCCCACTTGGCCGGCCGGAAAACCACCGGCCGTGTAAGCACTGCTTCAGCTACCGTGCGCTCTGCTGTAGCCCAGAAAGGCGGTACACCACTCATTGCCACATACATGACTACACCCATGCTCCACACATCCACTGCCGAATTGTATTTCACTTCATGCTCCCGTGGCGTAGAGACAAGCTTACTGGAAGCATCAAAAACTGCTCCCCACATTTCAGGTGCCATGTACTCAGGTGTCCCCACCACATCTGTTATCATCTCCCCTTCTGTCACAAAAGCCGCTGCTCCGAAGTCCGCAAGCTTTATATTTGCGTCGTCTGAAGCGTTCATAAGGAGGATGTTTTCAGGTTTGATGTCGCGGTGTACAATTCCGTTTGAATGGCAGTGTAGCACGGCGTGCGTGAGGGCTTGGCAGAGCTTGGCTCCGGATGGCTCGGAATACGGCCCGAGAGTTGTGATTCTATCGAAGAGGTCTCCTCCTCTGCATAGCTCCATGACAAGGTGAACCGCCTGAAATGGGGGGGACGAAAGAGGGGAAGAGAAGAACAGCAGGGGAGAGGTTAGAAGGAAGCAAGTACAGGCGGTTCAGTAGGGCATGGCGCGTTGAGCAAGAAAGGGAGGGGGGAGAGACCAGAAAGAGTGGGCGTATTGGGGGGTGAGGCTCAAGTAGGTGGAAAAGGAGAACCTGAAAGTACGTTACAGGAAAATTAAAGGAGCGACACATGGGCTGGAAAGTCGAGGGGAGGGGAGGAGGAGGGGGGAGTGGGAGGGGAAGGCAGGGCGGGGGAAGAGGAGCTGCTGAGGAAGTGCCGGGGGGGCATGGAACGGAAAGCATGAGATGGGGTTTGGTTAAGTAAGATGCACCATAACCTTCTTCCCCCCCCCCCTCCTCCTCCCCCTCCCCCTCCCCCTCCCCCTCCCCCTCCCCCTCCCCCTCCCCCTCCCCCTCCCCCTCCCCCTCCCCCTCCAACCCCCCCCTCCCCCTCTCCCTCCCCCCTGAGGCTTGGAGGAGTGGCTACATACCCTTCTGTCTTCAATCGTGTCATGGAGTGTGACTATATGAGGATGGCCACGTGCCAGGAACATGCTCGCCACTTCCCGCCTGATGTCATCCGCAGCTTCCGAAACTTTTATCTGATTCTTCTTTATTGTCTTGCACGCGTACACCCGCGATGTCTCAATCTCCAAACATTTCCGAACGCTGCCGTACTGCCCGCTTCCAAACTCCCGGTGGTGCACAACGAATCTGGACGCGATGTCTTCGTACGGTTTCAACAGAACCGAGGACGATACCGCTGAACAGGATGATCGTCTCGCTGACGTGTACGTGCAGGAGTTTCTATCCGATGAGGAGCCGCTGGCGTCACTGTGTTTCGCGTCTCTGTGGCGAGTCTGTTTTTGAGACTCAAAAACGGCGTCCCAACTGCCAGCTTGGCAGCTCCCTCTGGTTCGAGTGCGTTGATTGCCTGCCACGTGTTTGCAAAAATTTCGAGGCCGCTCCTGTCGCCGCGCGCTTACAGCATCGACGTTAATCGTGCTGCTCCCGTCCCTCCTTTCATTAGTATCACATCCGCCAGCATTGCGATCAGAATCGTCAACTCCAGTTACGATCTGGTTACCCGCGCCACCCGCGTCGTCACCCCTGCTCGTCGCGGTAGCACGCGTCGTCGTCGGAACCCTAATCCTTCCCTCCCTGTCGCACACGTCCTCTTGATGAAACTTCGGGTCGCATTCGGCATGTATTCCGCCGCCAACCAAGCAAGTCTCTCCTCTCCGCTGCTGCGCCGTCCCCGCGCTCCATCGCAAGCTGCGCTGCCTGAGCGCAGCACCCTCCGGAACCGTCGCGGGCTTCCCCGCTGCTGTTTCCGAGCCTGGTTCCGCCGACCCTCGTTCGAACCGCCATATTCCTGCCGTTTGCGAGCTTCGCCTTCCGGCCGAGCGGCCTTGCGCTGATCCTCGTTCCGTCGGAGGCTTTTCGCCATTGCTGCTGTTACCGCTTTCGACAGCACTGGCGATGGCCTCTCGCGTCGTTAGCGGCGACAATGCTGAAGCGGCGGTGGCAACCGAGCGAGGGTCTGTAGTAGCATCAGCGCCGCTGATATTACTCGCCGGTTCCCCAGACAGCAGTTCACGCACGGTTCGCGAAGCGGCGGAGAAGAGATTAGCCGCGAATGACGGGGAGGGGGAATGGCTCGGCGGAGCGCCGTGATGCGCGGGCGCCTGCGCGGGTATCGCCGTCTCTGAAGATGGCTGGAAAGTATTACTCGAGCTACGGAAGTGCCACGTGGATTCGACTCCCTCGCTTGCTGGGCTCGCCAGATCAAAAGACAACTCTGATTGGTCGAATGAGACAGCGGGAACGAGCGAGCCGCGCCGCTCGAGCGGCGATTTCGGTGACGATGCGCAGTCGTCGCTAATAGTGGGCATTCGGTCAATTTTAATGGGCTTCGCGGGAAAGAGACTCCTTGGGCCATGGATTATCGTTTCTGACGCCATTTTCGACTCCTTTGTTCCAAGACGATTCGCTGGCAAAGTCCGTACTAATTTCGCAGTGACTAAGTAAAGGTAAGCTGCTGTATTGGCGCTCAACTAAGCTGAATCGCTTGCTAACTCAACAAAATGACTGCTTTCAGCAGATAACTATCCTCGTTGAATAGCGCACCCATTTTTTTCGTGGAAAGCGCGGCTGGAAAGCAATGACGAGATGGAAATAGCTGGTCGCATTATCAAGCGCACTGTAAGCGTACTTATTAAGCGTACTGTCGAAGGTGGAAGTGCGGAGGATGAAGGTGCTGCTGTGAGCATGATCGCGGCAAAACTAGCAGCCAGTGGCGAAGAAGTTAATTAAACTCTGCTGACGTGGAGCAAGCCGTCATGACTAAAAGCCTGAGGTACACAAGATGCCCAACCCCTGCACGCAAAATTGCCTCGCACGTTCCAGAAACCTTGCACACAAAGGTAGTTTCCCGGGCAGTTGCACCCACGTTACAAGCACGTCAACCAATACGAACCACAGAAACAGAAGAGACCGAAGTCAAACAGTCAACGGTGAGTTACAAAATTTTGCTATAAGCCCTTTTTGCCCGACGCGAATTGACGAAACCTCCACGAAATGCATGAATCACTTAAGCGCCCCCTTCACAAGGCAACCTTGGGTTAGTCAAACGGACATCGTGTGTATGCAAAAGATATGTTTCACTCGCTCGCCGTCACCTCCAAGACAATCAGTGCAGTTTAGCATACTGTACCCGACAACTAACCTCCCACCAGACCACCACCCCACCCCACCACCACCACCGGGCCATCGGGAAAGGACGGAGGAGCTGAACAGCAACAGAGCCTCGGTGACCTTCCTACGGAGTTGCGCGAAAGCATCATAAAATCTTGGTGGTGGTGGCGGAATGCCGCTTGTTGGTGATTTCTGAAGCTGCTAGGTGCAGGATGAGGTGAGTGATTGAGTGGGATGACGACAATGAGCTGGGAACAATGATGCGAATGGAGCAGAACCACATGAGAGAGAGATGCGATACTGTATGCGAAGAGATTAGCGCGTGTACAGTAAACAATCGCGCCAAAAGGCCCCCCTGATTTTGCCCCGCGCCCATCCCTGGTTGGTTGGGAAAGGGTTGCTGTTCCGATGGATAGAAACTCCACAACATGATGGTGGGGTGGAATGACCAGGCGGACTCGACGCAGGAGGTCAAGCAGGCTGTGCTGTGAGACAGACAGCGCTGCTTCCAAAAAAGTGGAATTCAAGCGGGTTAGTAACATAAGGGTGCTGTTCGCCAGCACATCGGTGCTGTTCGCCAGCACCAATATAACTGAAAACGACGGGATAACAACGGGATCAGGAAGGTGGGTCTCGCCTTCCTGATCCCGTCAGTTAGAGTTCGTTAACCTCCGTCAGCTTGGTCAGCCCGTGAAAAATGTGCCGAGCCTCACCAACCGTCCAAACCAATTAACAAAGTGGGCGTCTGGCGAACGCCCACTTTTGTACACCGACTTTAACGTTTCGACGGCATATGGAAGCGGGGACGAAACTTCCTCCCCAGGCAAAACACCATCCCCTTGCAATGCCATCGTCATGCTGCGTTTTTCGAAGCACAGCGGTGGCACAGCGGTGGCACCGGGGACGCATTGCTGTGCAGAGGAACCCTCGAACAAGCCTTCATTTTGACACAGGGGGGTTCGGAAAACCCTAAAGGTGTTTGTGGTGTTTGAGCAGGGTGCGATTTATTTGCGTTTTTTACCCACGTTGAGCATTTTTTGGTCAGCGGGCAGCAGGTGGGTCAGTGATGTGCAAATTTCGCGCCATTGGGGGGAAGGTGGGGATGGACCTTCCCGATGCGGTTGCGAAATTTCGCCTTTTGGGCGCGCGTAGTTTCTCGGGCGGCATTTCGCCCAAACCTCGGAGGAGGGTTCCACCCCCGTTTCCATATGCGGTCACGATGCTAATGCCGTCGTTGAGAGAGATAGAGTGAACTTGCTGGACAAAGAAGAATGAGAGCACGGTCAAAGTAGGGCGGTAAAGTACTTGGCAAATGAACTCTCTTGCTGTAGTGACAAGGAGAGCTGTGATTGGTTTGCAATATTCTGCCTGCCTCCCTGCAAAACCTATCACATTATACCTTGATATGGGGAGGCTCGTTATAAGTGTTTGTATAATGAGCATTGCCGTTGTTATAATTGACTTACCCTCAACTTGCTTGGGCAGCTTCGGTTGTTGAAACAGTGCAAGCAAACCAGCTGACCAGCCTCATTCCGAAGCACGAGGGGTTTCCTTGAGGTGACGTCAAGTTTCGCTGCATCCTGAGTCGTCGAGAACCTATTCTCGATTGTAAGCAATTTGGCAAAAAAAAATCGCTCGCGTCGTTGTTCCCCAAATGTTTCGTGTTGGCATCTTCAAGGCAACCATGGGGTAACGTAGGGAGCGATACCCCAAGGTATCCCGCAATTTCGAACCGATTTCAGCGGTTGAATTTTTGGGATGGTGGCCGTTGCGACAGTGACCAGCTAATGAGGCTCGCCGAAATATTTGCGGAACTCGCAAGTTTCAGCCATCTAATTTGTGTTTTGGTGGCCGAAAATAATGTCCACACTTTTTTGGCGAAAATGTCACCATGTCAACTGGGTTGGCTACAGTGAAATGACGGCGTTGCAAAAATGGTTACATCTAGCTGACGACGTCGTCTGTTTGTGTGCGACACCGTCGCTACAAGTCGTTGAAAAATCCAAATCAAGATTTTCCACGTCTGTCAGAACAACCAGCAAAACTTGTCAAATTTGAAGTGCACTCCAAAATGGCCTGAAAAGTGACGACCTGGCTACGACCATCTTGTCGACGTTCGCGAAAAAAAAAAAAAATGATGACCAAATAAACGACAGAAAACGGCCAAACCCTGTTTCGGGCGATTTTCCGCGCCCTAAGTATTGCAACTGTGAACCATGGCGGGCCCATTCTTGCACTAACAACACAATTGTGCAACTTATAGGTATCCTACCAACAGCTTCCTACCTACGACGGGCAAACACCGTTCTTGATTGCAAACCATCTACTTTCTTCCTATCACAACATTTCATAGAAAAGAAAGAAGCATATGGCAACACTTCGGTGTACCTACGGGCATCTCTAATGGGCGGGAGCGCCGCCCTCATTGTGGAGAAGGAGACCGCCGACCGCTTGATCACCTTCAGCCCTGGCATCCCACCCCTGCCACCGTCGCCATTGCCCTTAAAGCTGTTGCTATGAAGCCACAATAACGGCAAGTTAGAGGCGAAGGTGGAGGGAGATGCTGCAGTAAGGCCGGACGGCTGACACTTGTTGGAAACGTGTAAACGCGCTTCTGGAACATCGAGCACTACAAAAGGAACGAAACGAGCCTTAAGCGAAGCAACACCGAGTCAACCGAGCTACAGTGAAGCGGTTGACAAAAGGGGACAACAACGAGAAGTTAAAGCGAAGGTCAAAGGTCAGCGACCTTCGATTCGCCGAGACAGCGCGACAGCAAGGACAAATAACTGAACTCGACATTGAGCAGTTACCCGAGTCGTCGCTGTATCGAATCGCACTAGAGGTTACAATAACGGTTAAGCATAAAGCGGATTCTTTATTATTCTTGTAATCTTACATAAACTTTGTATCTCTTCATTATAATCAACTTATCTTGTTCTCACATACCAGTACAAGGTGGTTCAACTCTATTTCACTTAGAACGCTTCCGCTAATACATCATCCCGAGCCTTAGCTATCAAAAGATCCTAAGGGCTTTTCTCAACCCAACATGGTATGAGAGCTAGTGATACAAGGCTCAACTATTTTTCATTCTCAACAAACTCAGACAACAAGAGGAAACGGCGACACAGAAGGAGAGGAAATCATCTACTGGATCCCCCGGCACTACCCCTACTCCACCTCCAGTCTTTGGACTACAGACAGAAGGCGGCACCGCCCAAGGACCAGCTGCAGAACACACTGAAGCGCCTACGAACTCAGGAGCTGGCTTCGACCCAAGCATGATGGAGAAATTCTTCTCCTTCATGTCCTTCTACGAGCAACACCAGCAAGCGGCACCTGCACAATCAAACAACAGCGACAACAACAACGGAGTCACTCACATGAGCCTCGATGGTTCTTCCTTTGCGCGCGGAAATCAACAACCCGCCTTCGCGCCGTACGAGCCCCAGCGCGGCTCTGTCAGCTTCATGCCGAATCATCTTCAACCTGAACAACAAACAAAGCCAATGGACGCGCTTCAGTTGCAATCACAATTTGCACATGTACTGAAACTGCGAACAACAACTCCATTCGACGGAAATGACTTCTATACCTGGTCCTTCGAGTTCGAGCTGATGATGGAAGGCGCTCAAATCCTCGGCTTCTTCGACGGCACCCTGCCATATCAACACACGGGACGCAGTACGACAAACAACAATACACGTATCAGTAACTGATGGCATACACTATCCTCATGCGAAACATCACGGTGAGCGAGCAACAGAACATTCGGTCCTATCGAGTGTACGGCAACTCCGCAGAATTCGCGTACAACCACCTGAAGAATTTGTATCAAGCAAAGGACAGTGTGAATCAAAGTCGTCTCATGGCGCAATTGACAACAATTCAGATGCAACCCGGAGAAAAAACAATGGCGTATATCAGTCGGTGTCGCGGTCTGTGCGACAGACTCATTCGATGCGGCGGAGCATTATCCGAAGACGCCTTCGTCACCGTTGTCCTTGCAGGTCTCGGACCCCAGTGGCGTTCCACGCGAGCCATCCTTCGACACCACGGAAAAATCTCTGAAGCAGCCCTCTGCGCAGAACTACACGCCGAGCAGCAAGACATGGACCTGCACGAGGAACGACACAAGAAAATATCATTAGTACCGGAATTCGCCTTCCATACTCAGAGGCGCTACAACAACAAAAATAACCGACATCGTGAACATCAAGTGCAGAAATACGTACCGCCATTCTGCCACCTTTGCCGAACGTCT